GGGTGAGGAGGAAGTCCTGGAGGTGCCGCCAAGCCCCTCCTTGGGCATTGCTGGAAAGGAGATGCTTTTCCTTGAACAGTAAATGGGGAGGGTGAGGATCCTGTTCCACCCCTGCTGGGTGTGGGGGTCACCCACAGAAGTGGGTTTAGCTCAGCACTATGGGACAATCCCAAGATATGAGACAAGTCCCCTGGGTTTTGCTCTGTACAGGGAGGGAAGAGCTGTGACAGGAGAGCACTGGGTGACTGGCACTATTGTGAGGATTTCTGGGACAGAAATAGTGGAAATTGTGGTGATGGCTGATGTCTTGGACTGACTCTGGTGGGATGGAATGGCACCAGCTCTGCTAAGTGGAAGGAGAAAATTAATGAAGTGTGGAGGATTATGGGGCAACAGTGCCTCTCTCCCACCTCTGGGAAGAGGCAGAGGGGACAAATATGTGAACCCACTTTGCTTTAACATGGCTTGAAGATGGAAATTTCCTTCCGAACTGTATTTCTTGCAGGGGAAGGTGTGTGCCAGAGAGGCCTGTGTCAAAGATCAGAAGGAARCAGGCTTAAAATGAACTTTCCAGGGAATTTCTGCAATTTGGGGGAGTTCAGACTGGATTCAGCAAGTGATGAAGGAAGGGAAGCCTTTTCCTGGCCTTTGACTGAGGCTCTTGCAGCTGGTTCTGAAACAGAAGGGAGCATAAAACCACAGGCTTTTTCTGTCACCCTGGTGCCAAGAATAAATGCTGGTAGAGTGCAAAGTGCTGTAAGCCTTGGAGGCTCTAAGAGGAAATATCTCTTCCCTGGATTCCCAGCTAGGTCCCACCCTCTGAACCCCCCTCATGGGGGCCACACCAAGGTCAGCTCAGGGTTCAGGCTTCTTTGGGGTGCTGGGGCAATAGGGTGGCCTTAGGGAAGGGAGAAGGGAAAGGAAAGGTCAAAGTCCGGCAGCTTCTGCACCCCACGGTGCCCTTTCCCTTTGCTCTCCCACACCTCCATTCTCCCCTGCAGCAAACACGTTTGGATCTCCTCCTGGAGAAGAAAGAAAGCACAGAAACATGGAAAAGCCAGTGCCTGGCATTGCTGAGAGGCGGGGCAGACGTGGCTGGGCAGTATTACGCTCTCTCTCACGGTATTACCCCAGCAGCGGCCAGGGGTAACTGGATCTGTGAGAGTCTGATCCTCCCAAGCCTTTAATTGGATGCATGAAACGTCCAAAACGCGGCTCACTCTCCTGCTTCCCACAGCTCTGACACACACACGCTCTTCTTGTCACTCAGGGGTGTCTCCCCACCAACCCAGCTCCTCCCTACATCTCACAGCACCCATCTCCAGGCCAGCAGGACAAAGCTGACCCTTTTTACGGGAGCCCTCCCAGCCAGGAGGGTGCTGGTGGCGTTGCAATATTTGATAACTTTCCAGACACCATCCTTTTTCTGTTCTGCCAAGAAATCACCTTGGCTAGACAAGGGACAAAAGGCAGAGGCAAGCAAGTAGAGAGCAGTCCCTTCTGTGGGATTGGGATGGGATGAACGCTCTGCAAGGCTTGTGCAAACTGGTGATGAGGATGGGTGTGCAAGGAGCACCCACATGGGCTGGGCAGCAGCTGGGGCAGTACCCCCTGCATGGAGATTCCAGTGTGGCTTTTCCAAGGCTCTCGCATCCCCCAGTCCTCCCTCCACYCCAGTTTCCACTGCAARCAGCAGCAGTCCTGCTCTGCAGTGTGGCACTGGGACAATGCTCCGTGGATAAGTGGGCCTTCTGTCCCCAGCTGCACCGGGGCCAGGCTCTCCCCAACCTGCAAGCCTTTTGCTTTTTCCTTTTTTT